GCAGTACCACGTGATGGGAAAGCTGCTTTTGTTAAAAGCTAAAAACAAACAATTCAAAATTCCTCACAGGCTTTTCAGTGCATCTTTCCCTGCAAGGAAGATGTATTTGTTGCTGCTTGTTTCTTGGGGACCAAAATAGCTGTAAAATTGACCATGTGTTGCAAGTAGAAAAAACTGCAACTGCCAGGCTGACAGTCCCCTCACTGTCCCTCTGTCATCTCCCACAATGGCCCAAATTTGTGTTGCCCTACACACTATGGGTATTATGTGCTATGGCTGTTTAATCTTTCACCAGCTGCCAGCAAAAACCTAGTCCTGTTTCTCCATACCTTGCATGTACCTGTAAAAGCCTGATGCTGTCTTCATGTCAGATGAGGTACTTACAGCTCCATGGAGATGTTGCATGCAACTCAGCAGAGACTATAGGACCCTGGCTCCAAAGAGGTAGAAAAAGAGCACTCCTCCTCACAGTGCTATCACAGAGTGAAGGGACTGCCAGACTGAAGGGATGGTGTGCTCAGTTACAGCACAGACACGTGGCACACAGCCACCCCCAAGGGTAGACCTTCTCCTTTACAGGAAAATTCAGCTGGGTGAAGGATGTACTGAAAACATCAAGATTTCCTCTGCACTACAGCTTAACTGCAAGTTCAGTCAGGATTTGATTCTCTCTATTGCCAGTCTTCACGTGCTGGCTCAGGCAAAACAGAGGTGTGCAGTCTGGAAGAATCCAACAGGCCCTGGACACAAGCAAGCAAGATAGTCTGGGAGAGGCACACCAGAAAACACTGTCTGCCCTTGGGACATCTTTGACTCTTCCCAAACAAAGGATGGCAAGATGATTAAGCCTCTGTCTCATCCTGCCATGGATACTGTCAGCAGGGACAAAGAAAATGTGTAGACTGCAGAGCTTGTCAGGGCCACCTCTGCACTCCAGCCTGCAGCCTACCTCATTGTGCTGATGTGTATCTTAAGCAGGTTACTGTCTGCAAAGACCTGTGGTAGGTGACTCCGTGTCAGTGATGCTGTAAGGGCCTCAACTCTAATTGCAAGAGCATTTCTGGCTGTTTCCAAACAAAAAAAGACTACTTACCTGCTGAGCTGCTTTACATTATTTTTGAGAATCCATGCTCCTAGACTAGAAATCAGTTTTTTCAGCTGACTTAGCTTCACTGAAGACATTACACATTTTGCTGTGAATTCAGTACGTTAAAAATCTTTGTTGCCTTTTGTTGTTTTGGGGTTTGTTTTTTGTTTTCTTTTTTCTCAGTGAAATACCCATGTGGAAAAATACCAGTGTTGGCAAAAAAGAATTCAACTGTACATGGGAGAATAGTAGGTGGTTTCATCTGTCCTCCAGGTGAATGTCCATGGCAAGTGAGTTTTCAAAAATCTTTCATTGCTTTTATTTTTTAAATTTCCTTATGAAATCACTACACTAAATTAATAGTTTTAAATCTATGATGTTAAAAATTCATAAAAAGTGCCATGTCTTGATAACCAAATTCCTTCTTCATGCATAGCCAGTAGATCCACCTGTTTCACGTAGGCTCCTTGGCTTTGTTCCAGAGTACCTGGTTTCATAGGAGTAGAGAGCACAGCTGTCTCTGTCTCCTGACCCCTCAGTCCTTAACTTCACTGCCAGCAAGAATTTTAGTTGCAGCTTCCAGGGATACGCTTTGGGCCATAATATGCAGGGTCCATACTACAAGATGAAGAAAATGTCCACGGGAAGACTTCCCTTGCTAAGTTCTCCATGCAGTCAGCATGGTATTGTCGAACACAGTTGCATAAAGGGACAGAAAGAAACAATATGAAACCCATATCTACTGAGATTTATGTCAAGCACATTTGATGAAAGACATAAATTTGCTTTATGTTGGCAGGCCCTTATAATACAGGATCAGAGAGAAAAGTGTGGTGGCACCCTGCTTTCCCCAGGGTGGGTGGTCACTGCAGCCCACTGTTTGGAGCATACTCACCCTAAACAGCTTCGGGTGAGACTGGGTATGTATCCTCCCCTCCTCATCTTATCAAGGGGGTGGCAGCTTCTCAACCTGATAAAATCAGAGTAGAAGGCTCTGGCAGTACAAGGTAATCATCCTTAGAGGTGTCAGACTAGAAACATCCCACATCCTCAAACTTCCAAGGACTCAAGGAGCTACCTGACATGACCTGCAATTAATAACTTTTCCAGGTGAACACAAAATAAATGTTGATGAGAAAACTGAGCAAGAAAGTGGAGTTGCCAGGATGGTCATTCACGAAGACTACAGGAATGGACATGTCAATAATGATATTGCTCTCTTGAAACTGGAAATACCCGTGAATCTCACAGACTATGTGGTGCCAATATGTTTGCCTGAGAAAAGGTTTGCTGTGTATGAGCTGTCCACCATCAAGTTCTCCACAGTAAGCGGATGGGGACGCCTAATAGATGGAGGTGCCACCTCTTCTGTTCTGATGAGAGTTGATTTGCCACGTGTAAAGACACAAGAATGTGAAAAGGAGACTGATTTAAATATCACAGAGAATATGTTCTGTGCAGGAGACCTGTCTGGGGTTAAGGACTCCTGCAAGGGAGACAGTGGTGGTCCTCATGCTACACGGTACAAGAACACTTGGTTTCTGACTGGGATTGTCAGCTGGGGAAAGGGCTGTGCTGTTGAAGGCAGCTATGGGGTTTACACAAGGGTATCCAAATACATCGACTGGTTGAGGAAGCACATGGACTAATGATGTTGAGCCACAGCATTTCCAGGTCGTGTTATTGCCCCCCAATCCCTCTGTACCATTTCCCACTGAAGTATTCCTTCATTATCTTAGATATTTGATACAGGCCATACACACAACACTATTAAAGATTTGAAGTGAGCCTAAGGCCTATTTGAATACATAATATATCTTCCCTCTCAGTGTTGTTTATAAACTTGTGTATCTTGTCAAGCAGGCAGAGAATGACCGTAACAAATCAGACACAATGTCCCTCCTGTTCTGCATCCATTTCTGCTAAAGATCAGAACTACATGCTGAGAGAAAGACTGTCAGCAACATATCATGCAGATCATAAGCCTTCCCCCAGCTACTCTCTCAGCTTCTGGTAATCAGTGAAGTACAGACTTCCTGAGCCAGAAGTTGCATTAGATTGAACAGTCATGAATGAATGCGTTGTCCCTAATTGTGTGCAATCTCCTTTGAACACATTTATGCTTCTGGCTTTCATAACTTCCTATGCTATGGATTCTGTAATATAATGATGAAATAGCAAAAACAAAAATAGAAAAGGTGCTTCTTTTAGCTTATGTTAGAGCAGCTTTCCCTGCAGCTGCAGTGGCAACAGGAAGATTTGAAGGGGAGGAACTGCAGGCACGCTTCAGGACAAGAAATCTGAGAAAAGGTTGATGCCATATTTGCAGGTCTGCTATGAAAACTTGATTTAAATCTTCTTACACCAAGCATTATTGCTGTAAGTCTAGTAAGTGCAATATTTAAACCTATATTTAATGACTGGTAAAGAATACCACTGATTTAATCTTATCTTTGCCTTGGTATTATGCGTGTCTATAGAAGGAGTGCAAATGAAAGGGAATGTTTATCAGTTGTCCAGTATAATCTCAATTGTACTCTTTATCCTGAGATCTAAAACCAGAACAGGATAATTGTCTACCCCTCTGCCAAACACTGACCAAAGACCATTCACTAAAATCTTAAGACATAAATGATAGAACCTGAAGCTCTCTGAAAACATATACAGTTCAAAAATATACTTTCTAACCTTAACATGAAAACACTGAAAAGGTGAGGAAGATAAAACTGAACCAGGAGATTGGAAAACAGTTTAACTATCTCATGCAGAATTTACACTCTAGATTGTTCAAATAATGCAGAGCATCAACGCAATCACAAAAGCTTATCAGCAAGTAGGACACAATTGATCATACTCTATTATTAGGGGAAAATATTGTCACTGTATGGTACATACCATGTAATACTGAACATCCTGTAACCTGTTTTACCGACAGAGAGGAAGTTTTACTGTTCATGTAGGCAGTGAACTGAACTAGGAAAGGCAGCAAATTTCAGAGACCTGAACAAGAAGAGATGTTACAGTATATATGCATACATGCACTAGAGGTTCTCCATGCTCCCAAAGACAGTCCAGTCTCAAGGAGAAAGTAAGCAGTGACCAGCAAATAAAGCCTCATTTTCATTCAGACGAGGTGCTCAGCACTGTAAAACCATCCCTGAGGACCCCTCAAGGTAGAATAGTTTCTGTTTACCATGATCCACAAGATGATTTCTCCTCTAGAGCATTCCAGTGAAAATACTGATATTTGTGAACAAATGACCTCTCAGAAAAAAGGGTAAAACGCCAAAAGAAATCAGTACTAATAACTGCCACATAAAAGTACTTTTTCAAGTCTGGGTTTTAGATGATTTAGATTATTTAGATTATTTCTTTAATAACTGCCACATAAAAGTACTTTTTCAAGTCTGGGTTTTAGATGATTTAGATTATTTTTTAAATATAACAGCCTGCTTAGGAAAGCCAAGAAGATGCAGGAGACCCGATGGCTGGCTCTGGAAGCACCGAGGACGTGGCCTCGGCAGCGCACTGTGAGCCCCCCAAGGAAGGGGAGATCGAGGCCAGTGTCAGGCAGCGCCGGCCGAGGTGGCTGGTGCGGAGCCAGCAGGTCACAGTGCTGGATGAGGACGGGACCAGGGCTGGAGCAGCCAGGATAGCGCTGAGGGCTGGGAGCCCGGCCGTGCCCAGCGCCGGGGCCACGCCGCTTACTGAGGGACCACTCACTTCCCTGCTCCAAAATAACAGGTGCAATTAAAAACAAAACAAACCTCACGCTGCCTTGGGCTTTGAAAAAATAAAGAACAAAAAGAAGAGCGGCCTCATCCCCCCCGATGAGAAATCCCGCCGCGGCTGTCACCCTGTCCCGGCGCTTCCGCTATTTCTGGGCAGGGTGAAGCTGCGCGGCTTCAGTCTCACCCCGCCCGAGGGGGCGAAGACTTCGCCTCCCGTCCCTCCCGTCCTTCCCGTCCCTCCCGTCCGTGCCGTCCCGTCCGTGCCGCCGGCGCGGCCCCGGGAGCGGCCCGGCGGCGCCGCCATGGCCGGGCCCGTGCTGCTGCTGCTGCTCTGTGCCGCGCTGCCCGCCGGCCTCCGCGCTCAGGGAGCCGGTAAGGCGGCTCCTTTTCCATCTTGTCGGGACGGGGGAATCTCCCTTCCCAACCCTGCTGGGGGCGGGCGATGCTGCGGGCCGGGGCGCGCACCGGGACAGTGCCGGGAAGGGAGGGGAGCGGGCACCCCAGGGCTCGCCTTCCTCGGCAGGGTCAGTTTCCCCACGGCTGAGGGCTTATCAGCACCTGTGCCGACCCCGCACGCTGCCGTAAGGCGGGGAGCTGAGCTTCGGGGGCAGGGAGCTGCTGCGGGCATCGCGGGGCCCGCGTAGGAAAGGGGCTGGCCGCCCTCGCAGCCCGGGCAGGCGCTCCCGTGCGTGAGGGAAGCGTGGCCGAGCCGTGCCTGGGCGCGCTTGGCCGTGGAGGAGCTGGGGCACGGCGGGGGAACAGGTCCCGCTGCCCTCTTGTGCCGCCAGTCAGCGCCCAAGCCCAAGGCAGCATCACAAATAACTTCTCAAAAGCTGTTAACTCTTCCTTCAGTGAGTCAGACTGCTTGGGGTGTAAAACAAGGTCTTTGGCATGTTTCTGGAATATCCCGCTTCGGTTGGCCAATGCCTGTTGCTCCTTAATGTCTCTAAAGAAGAAAGTATGGTAGAGAGCTTGGGAAGAAGAATGAGCAGCCTCAGAAAGAGGCCAGTTCAAGTCTACAAAAACATCCGCTTACGTGGGTGGCGTGAAAGCCAAGGAATATAGAGGCGATAACCCCACCGGCTGTGTCCTGTCAGTTTCCTGTCACTGAAGGAGGGGATTTGAGGGCAAATAAGATAGTGGGTGAATGAACTAACAGTCGCTGAGCTGCAAGTTAAAAGTACTTTCTGTAAGCCTTCCTTGAGAGGAGCCTTTTCAAAGTAAGTGGGGCCTCAAATTATGCGAGGGTTTGCTTAATATAAATAACACAAACAGAACTTGCCTCCCTGAGGATGATCCATCGATTTCAGTGAAAGCAGAATAAGTCTCCTCTGTGCTCTCTTGGAGGCTATTAGGATATATAATTACTTTTAGCGAGTTTATTTATCATGAAATTAAGCTGCATGAAGAATGGTCCAAAAGGAATGTGCAATGCTCCCAGTGAGCATAAGTCATTGTCCTTGAAGTCACATCTGTAGCACGTTCTTCCACATTCCAGCCTAAAAAAAAATTGGGAATATAAGAAATATTGGAAAGTATTTCCTCAGTGCAAATTCCAGGTGCTAGAACTTGATTAAATACCACCTTCCAAACTCTTCACACTTTCCTAGAACATACACTCTTTACAGGGTAATTAGCAACTTATTTTATCCCGGGAGGTCATTCTTCCCCTGTACTGGGCACTGGTGAGGCCACACCTCGAGTGCTGTGTCCAGTTCTGGCCCCTCAGTTTGGGAAGGACCTTGAGACGCTCGAGTACATCCAGAGGAGGCAACGAGGCTGGTGAGGGGTTGGGAACACAAACCCTGTGAGGAACGGCTGGGGGAGCTGGGGGTGTTTAGCCTGGAGAAAAGGACACTCAGGGGTGACCTTATCACTCTACAGCTTCCTGAAAAGTGGCTGTACTCAGGTGGGGGTTGGTCTCTTTCTCCAGGCAGCAGCTGACAGAACAAGAGGACACAGTCTTAAGCTGCATCAGGGGAAATACAGGTTCGATATTAGGAAAAAGCTTTTTATGGAAAGAGTAATAAAGTACTGGAATGGTCTGCCCAGGGAGGTGGTGGAGTAACCATCCCTGGATGTGTTTAAAAAAAGACTGGATGTGGCACTCAGTGCCGTTTAGTTGAGGTGTTAGGACATGGGTTTGACTCAATCTTGGAGCTCTCTTCCAACCTAGTAATTCTGTGATTCTGTAATCACCCCAGCATTCAGAGGAAGTCATTCCATTCAAGACTGAGTCTTGAGCAGGAGCAGCAGAAATACAAGCCCTCATTGGCAACCTTTGCAAGATTAAAAAGAGTAGGAGAGAATTTTGGGGTCCTACATTTTGTTCTGAGGCTACTGATTCTCAGAGAGACTCCTCTGAGAGATCTCGGGATGTATCAGCCTGTGTGAGGACTAACCTCGCAGGTAATGTGTACAGGTACCGTGGTCTGTTTTGGCTTTGTTTCTACTTCACTCATTTGTCGTGACTCCTTTCCACCACCAAATGTTACCCACCTGTATAATTTTTCTCTGCTATCTAGTATTCATCAAGAAAGAAAATGCCGACAAGTTCTTGGAAAGAACAAAACGTGCTAACTCTTTCTTAGAGGAATTGAAGAAAGGGAATATTGAAAGAGAATGCAATGAGGAGCGCTGCTCAAAAGAAGAAGCAAGAGAAGCTTTTGAAGACCAGGAGAAAACTGTAAGGATGAACTAATATGAAATATAGGTCTATATATTTCATGTTTAAAAATTACTATTCATGTCCTTTGAGCTGGGCATCAAAACTCACAAGTTGTTTCCAATCACTTAACACAGAGAACAAATAGTGATTAACTGGGGGTGGAATTGCTAAGACAATAATCATCCCATAACAGTCTTAACTGAGCTCTTGCATGGCCAACCCAGGTTAAATCCTCCATTCTTTTACCTGTTCTGATCTGTTTAATTGCCATTGAATGTTATTTGACGTTCAATGGCTTTGCTGATATCAGTGTTGAAAATACGTTCGTTCACCCTGTCTGGGTTACATCCCTGAGTGCCATGACTGTGCCCAAGGCAGTCCACGGGGAGGCTGAGAAGGCAAATGCTGACATGGAACCTCATGAGGGAATTTTACTGAACTTATCTCAAGCAGCTTTGCTTGTAATTTTGTAGCTTTCTTTATCTGAATTGAGAGAATGTATACTGTGAACAGTTCATAAATGCCTTAATGTTGACTGGAATGAAGTTTGTGTGACTCTTGTGTCACCTGCCCTACCCCAATGGCTTGCTTAACTTTAGACAGAAATGTGGTTTGTTCCCAAGCTGAGGGGAAATTTAAAGAGATGGGGCAGCTGTGTGGACTGTAAGTAGAAAAGGTGGTATTGCAAACACAGACTGTAGCTATATGGTTGTTTAGAGCTACCCTGGAACTGGAGCTAAGGCCAGATTCACTTCCCTTTAGCATTATTTGATGTCCAGAATGTTCTTGGAGTGGCCCTGAGGTGTCCTGGGTGGGGAGTCCTGGGTGCATCACCAGTGTACTTCAGATGACAAATGTTGATTTACCTATAGCAGAACTGGCACAGCCTGTTCTGCCTGGTGACCAGATGCCACTGGAAAGGACTGCCATGCACAGCCAGCATCCTGGAGTCCTCAGTGCACATGGACAGGAGGACACAAATCAGACAAAATATTTTTAAATGTCAGGATTTGTGAGGTCCTGATTGATGGGAGTGTGGGGTGGGGATCAAGACTGAGAATTTGGCATTATGGGAATATAAGTAAATTCAGTCAAAACTGGTGGAAAGGTAATTATGCAGGAAATCTAGAGGCTTATGCTGAATGGTCACACTGGAAAAACTCTAAGGAGGTTCAGATATTTCTGAAAAATGCACAAGACTTGTTTCTGTAGAGCTGGGAACCATATGGATCATATGGTTTTAAGTTATTAAATGGTAGTAGTGGGCTGCTAGGCATTGTATGTATCTATTATGTAAATATTTCCTTTAACAATTGTTAGCTGCAAGTATCCTGTGTATGAAAAGTCTAATATTTTTCTGAGGAATTTAGTAATTCTTCTCTAACTTTATTTCTTTTTCTTCTCCATTTCCCACACTTACTTGTAGGAGGAATTCTGGAACATCTATGTAGGTAAGAAACACCCTGTGTTTATTTAGAAGATTAAGCTTCTTTATTGCAAGGTTTGAAAGGGTGCACCTCTTAAGTAACCCTTTCCTGCTCCCTTGTTTCCTCTCTTTTCACTCTGAGACACCCTCACGTTGTGTTTCCTCTGAAAAAGGAATCTGATTTACTGCCTGCCATTGATTGAACTCAGTTGCTTCATTTGAAGGCAAGGTTCAGCTGTCTCCAGTTGCTGGACTGACCTTTGTCCTCTCAAAAAAATAACAGTGGTCCTTTGCACACAAGGGACAGTGAGGAGCAGAAACTGTGTGGGACTGCAGATAGTTTTCCTTCAGAGGGGTAGCTCCAGATAGGAGAATTCAAGATGCATTTAAGAGACAGATGAGTCTCTTAAATGCCATAACCAACACAAAGTTTTAATTACATTGCATAGTCATTTGCCAATTTCTTTCCTTCCATGCCAAAGTGTTGTTGATTCCTGTCTTAAAGAGCATTTTTTGGTTGTGTTTTTTACAGAATTCTTTGGTATTCAAGGAAAATATGCCAGTAGATACTACCTAACTTTCTGTTTTTTTTATCTAAGTATGTGAGTTTTATTTATTAGGGTTCTAGTGTTTGTAAGCACTGTGCAAGGACAGATTTTTAATGTATTACTGTTTGATAACATGTTCTCCAGTAAGTATATGTCCAATTTGCACACTAGGAGGAGTGCCTCAAAAATGTTGACCAAAGACAGCTCAGCTTTGTCTTTTGGAATCTGCAGAAAAATGAAGACAGTTACCATGAAGAAGACACAGACTTTCACAATCCTCTAAGCACAGGATGAACTCTGCAACCTACAGACTAAAATTTCAAGCAAAGCCTGTGTCAGTGTTACAGTAAAGAGGATTGGAATATTTCAAACCAGTTTCTTATGAGAATACAAGCAGCACAAATCAGTGCCAATGCTCTTAGCAGAAGTGTTAGTTTTCATAAATTTTAAACCACAGTCCACAAATGCTTTATGAGTGTTCAGAAGTATTGAAAACCACAGCTATGTTCAGCCAAGTTACTAGAACGATTTGTTCTTGCTTCCTGTTTTAGTAGGGGATTCTGCAATTTGTGCAATATTGATATAAAAACTTATTACCACAGATGCAACTACAGTGTAGGGTAAGAGCTAAATAAGTATGTTTTCTAACAATAGGATGCTGCTTAGGTAAGACCACTACAGAATAGACTGCTATGGCACTGCAGAGGAGGCAGAAACCAGAAGTTATGATGCAGGCCTTCAGTCTGTCTTTTTTTGGTTGATGTTGGTCTTGTCTTCCCTCTGTTAAGCATGGACATCAGTGTCCAGATCCTCCATGGCTGGTGCATTTGGAGAGCTCTTGGTTTTGGCCCAATGCAGTTAGAAAATGCATCTTGATGTGTGGGTACAGTACACAAAGCCCAGCAGCTGTTCCCCATGACAGGCAGAGCTGCAGCAGATGAGGTTATGGTCCAGAAATACCACACAGGGAGCATGCTGGGTCCTTAGGATGAGTAGCTTCTTGCAAGTTGTTTCTGCTATGGACATTGCTGTTTCAGCTGCTCCAAAGAAGGGCAGAACAAGTGGTAAAATAGAGGGTAAGATCATGTTATCTAAAGCAGCAAATTATAAAGTGTCACTTTTCTAGATATCTTGCATTTTGTTTGCAACAGAGCAAAAACTATAGGGAAATGCAAGGGGCCAGAAGTTCAATATCCTTAGGCAGTAGTTGCAATGTCCTGTCAGCTCTTACAGGCTTCACTGTATGTACATTCTGACCACAATCAAAGAATATTCTGGGTTGGAAGGACCCACAAAGATTATGCAGTCATTGACCATTCATAAATGAACGGCCCATACAGGGATCAAATCTGCAGCCCTGTCCATAAAATGTTTACCCACCACAAAAATTAGCAGCCTGCAAAACTTTTCTCCTCAAAACCTTTATTTTTATAGAAACTGAAAATGTTAAGTAATTATAATTAATGCTACTTACACATGTACATTATAGCACTTTTATAAAAAGATTGCAAACTGCAGCTTCACGGGGTCACAGCCATTTTAGATGGAACTGTCTACCCTATGGTCAGAGAGCACTTCAGGGTGATTTCCAGGCCATTTTTGCAAGTTACATTTTGGTTCTGTCTGAGACCGTCCACTCAGGCAGCACTCCTGAGGGCAGGGTGATAAAGCAGATAAAGCCAGCGTTTAGGTTCAGAAATACACCCTCGTGTCTCAGTTTCACCCTCGAGTTTGGGCCTCGTATCAGAGTTTTACTCTTGAGTTGGGCCTCGTATTAGAGTTTTACTCTTCAGATTGAGCCAACCAAAATGAATTCCTGTATTTGCACATTGTTTGGGGGGTAAGTCCAAGGGATGGGGTGATCTGGAATCTGCACTCAGCCTGCTCAGTCAGTCAGTGCCTGAGGGACGTTACTCAACAGTGGGAGTGAGGTAATGTGGAAGCCAAATGTTAACTTGATATAAAGACAATCTAGACTCTGTAGCAGTAGAAGTCAATCTGCAGCCTCTGCATGCAGGAATGCAATGCTAGGAGAGACGTGGAGGGACACATACATGTTGCAGTAAGCAGGAGATCATGGATGTCTAAATAAAGAGGGGTTTTGCTTTATAAGAATTGTACTTTATTCTAGTTTAATTTGTACACTCTGCTCATCGGAAAAAATATACGTGCACATTCACTGTTTTCTGTATCTTGTTCTGGATTGTGTATGGCTGAGGATTGGAAAACTCCTTGCATGGCAGCGGTGACGCGCGGTGAGCTCGGAGCACAGGCATGGCGGGTGACCGCGGGACAATGCGGCTTCTTCCCGTTGTCCTCCTCTTCCTTCAGATGAGGCAGACAGGTAGAGTGTTTGCTTCAGCTTGGCTTTGTGCTGCTTTGCCTAAGCCACACAGGTAGTTGCCAATAGTTTTCTTTGTGGGGCAGGGGACATGAGTGAGCACCTCTGCTCTCTCAGAGTGACCAGCTCTGCTGTCTCACCCACCTTGCTCCACTTGGCCAGCTGCAGTGCAATGATATCCAGGGCTGAGGCACATGGGGAATTCCATTTTGGAGTGCCAATTGTGTCAGTGTAAATTATGGGGTCAGTATGTTGATATGTAGTGTTTTCAAAGGCTCAGCACAATTAATGGGCTATTTCTCATATTCTCAGGAGACATGATAATTAAATAATCTTTGCTAACTATTGATAAGCTACTGAGGGTCATAATGAACCCCACAATATTTAATAGTGTAGAGGGGAATGAGATCCCTACCCCATCACCAACTGTAGTTTTTTACATCTCCACTAAACCATCACATCTCCACTTGATAAATCATCCCTCCTCTCCTTTAGGTTGGACCATGAGATCTTCTCTACAGAGTAAGTTTATGAATCACGTTGTGGACATGATGCATGCCTTATGTTTTAGTTTTGCTGTTGTCTCTGACTGGAGACAACTGAACAAACACCTGAGTCATCACCATTGCAAGAGCTATGAGTTAGGGGTGGATTTTGACATCCCAGACATGAGATGGGAGAGGTACTTAGTGGGACACAGGGTGCCCTGAGAGTCTTCAGAATGTTTCAAGGAAGATCTCATATAAACACGTCAAAAGCACTTATATGCATTTAATGTTAAAATATAGACTAGAAGTTGATGACAAAACAAAGATGGAAGATAACTTCCATGAAATTAACTGTAAAAATGATGGAGTTCATTAATGAAGTAAAGAAAAAGAACAAGAGAATAATATTAAAGTATTTTTAAAAGAAAAGCTGCTTAAAATCCCCATGAACCCCCAAAGGATTGAAGGCATCTGTCAAAACTGTCCCAAGGTCAGGAAAGTACAGGACAATTGATTAAAACTTTGACCTCACCTCCAAAACCAAGTGTTAAAGTGCCTAGCTGTGTATTAAGAATTGTAAACATCCTGACATAAAACAAGAAAATCTGAGAAGTAAATACAATAATAAAAATGTGATATGAAAATCAAGAGCTAAGTATTTGAATAATGGAAGAAAGAACATGAGTGTTAGTCTGTGCCCGATGGAGAAGAAAGTCATTCTTCCTTAAGGTACCAAATAACTTGCACCCAACAAGGAGGAAAGAAACTGCTGAACTGCACTATTCATGAAAAAATCACATCAAATTTCTCCAAGGGAAAAATCACATCACTTTTCCCCAAAGACAGGGTGATGGACTGTGTGGCTGCAAAAGATGGAGTAAACCTCAGGTCTCTCCTTTAAGGGAGGCTTCTAACATCATTTTATCTGACACTTTCATTGCAACAGAAAGAAAAACATCTGTAAATTTGGTGCCAATCTGGTCAAGAAACTGTGCTACTTGATTGAAAGATTATATGGAGTGCAAATCTCCATACCTCTGAAGACCTCTGACACTGATATTTTCCACAATAACATGCAAGACAAAAGAGAGTGTTTTCTCACTGTTTTTTTACCTCATTCCAGAGTGGAAGGACTACCATAAATTGAGATGAGCATTCAGGCAGTCTTGGGAAACTGAAACGCCAGTCCAATGTAAATAGAAGGCAATTATGTAAACACAAAACCAAAATTTCACCTTTGATCCCACAACATGCAACCACAGAGATTTGTAAAATATGTAACAAAAGCAAGACTTCTTTGTTTTCATGAGGATGAACAGCTAGGACAAGAATTAATGGGATCCCATCACTCTAAGGGCTACTCAGATTAGATATTAGGAAAGACTTTTTAGACATTATAAGGCTAATTAAGGAGTGCGTTAATCTGTGTGGGTGAGCTGTGGAATCTCATCAGAAACCTGTAGGAACAGGTTAGACACCCTCTTTAGGTTCAGTTTACTTGTTCTTGCACAGTTAGAGCCAGGAAGAGCTCTCTCACTCTGCCTGTGACCTTGCAATACCAGGACTGAGCTAAGGTAGCATGAGCCATAAACAGATGGAAAAGGAATATTGCAAGGATCTACCAAGAGCCCAATAACTCGTTTGTTACTGGTGCTTTAGTTGTTGGTATTTTTTGCCTCTTACCCACAGCCATGCTCATCTTTGCCTCAGTACAATGGCTGTTCTGGCAAGTACAGATTGCTCCTTGAATTGCCCTCTGAGAGCTGTTAGTTACAGCTGGG